ATCAGTCGCTGGCTGTCAGTTTGTACTGCTTATAATTGAATCTCGCGTCAGTTCGCTGATATAATACAAGAACCGAACGCCGCCGCCCGCCGCCGTAGGCAAACCGTTCCACACCGAACAATTAATTCCACATAAACAATTATGGAAGACCGATTTATGTCCGATAAATTCGTCGATTCCAATGTCCCGTCACTCCTTTTAATGACGTCCAGTATGAGTTAATTATGTAACTAGAATACAGACAATTTCATTTAAAAGTGCCTAAAGGTCTGACAATAAAGCAAGCTACAGATATGGACTCGCTCTTTCGTCTGACTAGAGTTTATAGTTCACGTTGTTATCCCCAAGGATCCCGAGTTAGTCAGAGTTGAAACGAACTCGATCATCAACTTTAACAACCTGAGAAGTTCAGACATTAAAGCTCCCTATTTCACGTTGTTCTTAATATATTTCATTGCCAGTTTATTCCTTTAAAAACTTAATACTACCTACTTAATCTTAACAACCTTAGCTATTTGCTACTGGCAATCAGTATAACCACAGCAGATTATGGCATAGTAAAACTAATAGCGGAGCATCCATTATAATTGTATTTACATACACATAAATATCTACTGCGGGCAATCTTCCTAATGACCGTGAATCAATGCCCGTCAAATGGCAGCTTATTTTCATTGTAAATATGTTCTACCTTTATGTATGTAAACTTAAATCATTTAGCCAACACACGGACAACAACAAGCAAGTAATTACACAGTTCCAGGAAAGTCGTTAGTGTCGTAGGAGTGGATAGATTACCAACGAGCCGCGATAGCAGTTTCTATAGCTCGGCCTAAGAGTGTAGTTGCCATTAAATTATAAGTACACACTCCTACGCAGCGATACCTCCTTTATTTCCGATCCAAACTGCTGACAAGATTACGGCTAGACCGTTAAATTATTCGTTCCTGAAGAAAAGGCATACGTGTGCGTTGAATGGTTAGTGTTAGCCATGCCTAAGTTTTGTATCAACACTGATTGGACAGAACTTTCATAACCCTATTTATGAAATTGATGCCAGAGATTTATGTTGCCGTCTGTACACGTGGAGGCGTTACTATTTATTGGCGTCATAATCTCATCCTTTCAATGGCTTAAGATGAAATCTACAGTCAGTATGCTCATTATTGTTAAGAAATAGCAATATAAACGTTATAGTGTAGTTAGTTGAAAAGACATATTTATAGTTAACGGTTTGTGAATTTTCACAGATATTAACGATATTATTGTAAAAATTCAAACAAAATTAAGATACAAATATAAGTTTATATGTGGGAGTTACATGATGTCTAGGCTTAGGTAAATATTTGTATACCGTTTCAGTTCTATTTTCATCGAGAAATCGTTAAAAGTCATCATCGTCATAAGCCTGCCTAGTTGTCCTGACGACAACTCGCCACTTACATCGCTTTCTCATCCTGCGACTCTGACGATGTCACTATTCGAAGACCTGCCCATGCTTTTGATATCGGCCATGGACGCCGCTCGGGCACTTTCCAGGCTCACCGTTATGGGCAAGCCACATTGATCGAAGGAGTTGCCTGTTATTGCGACGTCAGCTTGCAGATTTTACGAGCTATGTCGGTAACTCTGGTTCTTTCGCCGATTTTCACCTATCGGATTGTGTTGCTCAAAGAAACCCCGAGCATAGCTCTCTCCATAGCGCGCTGAGTGAGTCGTCTCTCTAGTGGGCCAGACAGCCCCACAAGAAACAGTCAGGGACAACGTCTTAGAAGTCGTCCGGAGCGGAGGTGACTGACGTTTTTGCTGTGCTGTGCTCCAGTTTGAGAGCTGGAAAACGATCATGAACAATTTGGAAGATATCACGCGTGCCCCACGCCCTGCAATTTAAATGGTTTCGTGCACTTTTCATTGAGGCCTATGCACGTAGTGGAAATTCTATACAAACACTTCAGTGCTTTAATGCATTTAAGTCGACCTAACATCGTTGGAGAGACTGCAGGAGAGAGCAGGTTTCGTTTGAATGTAGACAAATAGAGTAATAAGTTTTAATAATTTGCTTCATTAACTTAGTGTAAATAATCGACTTTGCAGAATCATTAAGTAATAATGAACTGACGAATAGTTCAAATTTATTAAATGGATTTCTACATATACTCGTATTAAACAAATAATCGTAACATTTTGAAATAATATAACCTAGTTTTCAAATCCAGCTCGCCACAATGTCGGCAATCAGACAGTCGCCCGCGCCGACATAAAACATCGGCCGTCAAACTTTATGTTTTCTTATAATCTTAACAACGACCATGTGTGAAATATAATACAGAAATGAACATAAAATCCTCACGACCCAAGTTTTTATAACTTGGCGAATAAGTCATTGTCAGAACGTAGGTTTATTCTTCATAATCAGGTGGTAAACGGAACAAAAGTTCGGGAAATAATTTAACGTTATCGGATTTAATGGAATATACTCTGAGTTATTTTGAGGTGTAGACCAAATTATTTAAGTCGGCACTTAGGCTTCAAGAGTATGTAGTATACATAGACAAAAAATGAAAGGAAAGTTCATTCTTGGAGTCAGTATCGCCTTGCTTCTACTCGACTCGCCTCGGTTAGAAGCGCTTTGACTCCTAAAATGAATATGGCTGTTGGTAAGGCTAATTGACGTACCTATAATATTATCAAGTTTTATTTAAAGTGATATTTTACATTGCAGGCTGAAGGTAAAGTAATATGTCACATATGCACTATAAAACTCCTTAGTAAACACAGGGGACTATCAACTATCGACATAGCAACAATGTCCTTAAATGCCGTTTGCAACAAAATAATTCCTACCTATACAATAAACCGAATTGCCACAGATACTGGATACTGATATATCACTTCGTAAAGCCTCTGTTAAGAGCCCATAAAATGGCCAACTGGATAAGAAATGAGATCAGAACTGATACTGCTTTTTAACGGACATAGCTTACAACAAACTAGAATTTGTATCAAAATGTCAACCAAAAGACTTCTAGAGTTTTCCTAATATAACTTTTCTATCGTAAGAGACTGAATAAAATAACAGACAGTGAGGAAATCCTCACATTTTACTTCCAAGCATAGACCCTATACTTTCTACAAATACATTAGCATTGCATATGTCACAGCCAGATAGTTTGATGAGCCATCAAACCAACGGCCTAAATGACTAGTCATTTGATTGATTGGCAAAATTTCTCATTCAGGCTGTAAGTTGAAAGCTGAAGGGATTGTCATGAAAATCAAGTTGTTAACAGAATGGTAGGTTAGGTTAGGCAAGAACTGTAAACTGCACAGAAATGGAATCGAAGAACAGCTACCTACTCAAATTGTATTGCGATCAAAGGGCTAGGTCATTGGTTGGACTGCTATTTTAACCAGTTAGCTGCGACTTATACATTTAAAATGAAACTTTCATTTAATCAAACAAGATAGGGGTCTACAGAGGTAGAGTAATTTGATTATATATATTTTTTTTTATACACATCTATATTAGATACTTTGAGCACAGAACACCTCCAGGTCACATTGCACAATTAAATAAACTTAAATATACGAGTATAAACCCAAACCACGGCTTTAGGAACATCTACAGATCTTTGAAAGAAAATATAAAAAAATATGCACAAAGACGAAAACGCTGAAAGCCATCACTAATATTAGTTGAGAAACAGCCCGAAGACGCAGGAATAACTAAATAAATAAAGTGCAACTTGTATTCAAGCATCAAAGTTGACGGAAGGCAGACCCGTAGTCGAATTCATCTATTTACCGACAAAAGTTGGTATGGAGCCGCGGTTTTCATAATATTAATATCTGGTGCAGGCCAGGTAAACCAAACTTCAAAACACGACGAACTTTACGGAGACATGCACGTGGAAAATTTAATATTCCCGTAGTTACCCCGCATTACATGTTCAGAGGGAATTGATTTTTTATTTATTAAAAAATTGTGTTCACATTTTTTGTTGACTTTATAATGTTTCGACGTGAAGTAAGCGCGTAGCACAGTTTGCGCATATTTTATTGAAATTTTCCACTTTATTGTTTGTAGCTTAAACAACATGTAAAATTACATGCATTTATTTAAAAATGTTTTAATTAATTTTGATAGACGCGACCACAGTCAAGAAAGTCTATCTCAGAAATATTAATGTAGGTAGATATGTATATCTTCGCTAACTATGTTGATTAGGATTCCTAATTGAAGACCACTATTGCCCTAAGCTGATACTGTAAAATATTAACAGTGATAATGTAAAATATAAAAATTCCAATTATTATCATCATCCCTCCTTAGAAATAAAAAGCTAGCCTTTTTTCGAATGTCCAAACACATCAACGCAAATACAATACATAATACTCTCTAATATTATATATAATAGGTTTACATATGAAATTGCCGTTCTGCAGTACTGGCCATTACAAATCAAAATAGTTTTTGTTAGGCCAAGGCTAATTAATTTTGTTTTAAAAACATGGGATTCTTTTTCCAAAAGTAGTCATTTGTTTATTGATTAGTGTTACATTTTCATCGCATTTCAAATCAAAAAATTCGTTGAAATTTTCTCATGCTAAGCGGCAATTTCATGGGTAAAGACCTATTATTAAGTAGAAACAAACGCAAGTATCAATGTATATAAACAAGTTAATTTAGTAGCCGTGGGCGCTAAGCTAGGAACCTTTCACTGTTTAATGCTAACTGCGATATTTAACCTTTGCAGCCACAATACTTGAAGCGTTTTCTACCTTCCTACGCTATGGTAACTGTAAGCAATGCATTACAACTTAAATGCTAACTTAACGTTTGGAAAATCTACCTGCCGGCTCTTTTATTAGGGGAAAATCATCTAATGACTTCTCCCGCCCAGGGTGAGGCGAGAGGGAGTGTCAGACTCTTACTGACTAAAAACCCCCAGTTTCTGCTTCTGTTCTATGACGATAACCCAGGCTGAAAATCGGAAAAGCTACGCGTCGTACACTCGGGTCTGGTTCTGGTCCGCCGTCGCCGATAGCTTCCCTGAGGACACGGCGATGCTTAGACCAAACAGGGCACACTACCACTGTATGATCCACCGCGTCCTGCGGATAGCCTAGCTGCGAACAGCTATGTCATCTGCATATCAGTCTTTGTCTGCTAACATTGTTTTTTCATGCTGACTAATTCTTACTAGGTTATGATTATCAAGTATCATCTGTCTGCAATTAACGAGTTTCATCTAATAAGTATACTTACTATTCTTTATTATGTAGTATATATTGCATGATATTTTAAGTACCTACACATACTTTTAAAAAAGATATTTTTATGCTCCCAGCACACAAAAACTTCTTTTCAATAAGACCCCCAATAAATCAATCAGCATTCTATTTCATTTACATTTTGATAGACTTAAATAACGGGCCGTTTATAAGAAAACTGCATCTTTATGTTAAATTAAAATGGTCAGCAATATCGATATTGCGTGGAGTCTGGCGAGCTCTGGCCAGTAACAGGTAGCCATAAGTTGCCGGTTGCCGGGCGACGTCGCGGCCCGCGCTGACACTCGCCCCGCCCCTCGACTAATTGCCGCCTACTTGCTTATTTACGCACCACTATTAAAACAACAAGAACTCATAAACTGGTTCCTGATTTACGCGCCCTCTTCCAAGTAACCGCAAGTACTAGATAATTTACGATATTTAGTGCATTTTCGCAGTGACAATACTTTACAAGCAATAACAAGCAAACTTGCATCTCATTTATGACTTATAGTATATCAAATCGTATTTCCACATTCGCAGTTTTGGATAGAATGGACAGAAATCATAAAATATATCTTACCTTTCACAACCGCCTCGATTATTCCTATACTCCTTAACGTCAACACCAGAGGTTCTATTACTAAGCTAAGCCACAAAGCACCGCTTTCTCGTCGCTTCTCAGTTAAAAATATACCGTATGTGCGAACACGTACAGGTGGACACGACGTACTAGAGCTCTCCACGAAAATCGTGGCGTCACTGAAGCGTAAAGACTTTGCGGTTCCAAACTTAACAAGCACACCTATATCATTTAAATCACCTTTCAATACCCGGCGTATGTTCACTTTGTAAATTCGGGTTCCATTATATCCGGATTTTACACCAAACACTTTACCCGTAAACACGTACTTGGACAGGAGGGTGACGTGTTTCAGCAGCACTTTGTTGTACGTGACACCAGTGTTGCACGCAGAGACGGCGGGTGGCAGGCGGGCGCGCGCCGACGGCCCGTCTGTGGTCGCCATGTCCAGCGCAAACATCAGCAACACAAACCACGCGAGACCCATCGCCAATGTAAATAAACGATTACGAGATTGACCGTCCTGATAAGTAAACACATTTATTTCCCGTCGCGGTCGCATTTATCAGATACGGAAAGCACGTCACTGTAGGATTTGCGACGTTAGAAGCGGTGTCATAAGCGTGCGCACGAGCGCAGGGCGCGCCGGAGGCTGTGCGGAGCGCAGGGCCTCTGCCCACTCACTCCAGAACATTCACCTACCCTACATATTTACATACTGATTGGTCTCGCGTAAATAACACCACGCACCTGGTAACAGGACACCAGGTGATTGGATGCGACGTTTATCGCGACACTATCTTGATTTGTCGAGCTAGAAAACGAACTAATGTTTTCCTATCCACGTCTTTATAGAGAGCCCATCTGTAACCCAAACGTCTCTATAAAATTTAATGTAGTGCTGGACCAAACGTGCGTCGTGATATACGATAACTATGATATTAAATAGGACACGAGTGTGATTCGAGGTCTATAAAATATATATCATTAAAAAGATTCCATGTTAAACCACTTGTCTTGTACGTACAAATATTTTAATGGGTTGAGTGCCGACTGGAACGCATTAAAAAGGTGATAATTTGATTTAAGCATCCAGCGTGATATTGTATACCTACACGATACTGTAGCACGTACAAAGCGGCCAGGCAATGATCCAATACGCTCATTAAATTGGACCTCATAATTACAGAGGTAACCGCGTGCGGCAGAGGTGCGATGATAATAAATAATAATTAAACTATCAGCTAACGGCGAACTCAATTCAATCAATCACGAGTAATGATCGTTCGGTATAAGATCCTTTTACACTGCGCGGTTATTAAACTTTATCGATAAATAAAGTTTTTGTCAGTCAATCGGTGTGAGTGGGTACTAAGTAGTGGGCCAGTGAATCATTATCATGAGAGCCGGCGACATCAAAAATCAATTGGTGTTCTTGCTCGAGGACCGTTCGCTCTTTTTACTTGCAAACTTACAGTTGTGCCGCAGCATAATTTGTAAAAGTCAATTACGAGTAATTTGTTCAACCTTTGCCGGGAGATTGTCCACAGATAAAATATGTAGGTACCTAGGTACTTCTGAGGTATTTTTTATTTATGTAATGGCTCGGCAAACAAGCAGACGGATTACCTGATGGTAAGCAATCAGCGCCGCCCATGGACACCCGCAATGAAGGAGTTACGAGTGCGATGCCGAAATTTTAGGAATTAGGTTTAATTTTTGGAGATTTAGGGATTGGGGAGGGATCGGAGGAGGGGGAGGATTGGGCCTCCAGTAACCTCACTCACACGCCGAAACACAACGCTGTAGTTGTTTCACGCCGGTTTTATGTGAAGCCGTGGTATCACTCCGATCGAGCTGACCCATTGGTGCCGAAGCATGGCTCTCCCACACTTAAATAAGAATACTATAAGAACTCAGATTGTATAAAATGTGGAAAGCAGTATCTTGGAAGAATAAATGTATTTTCATTGTCATCTCTCAGTAGTCAATTATGTTAGTCGGCGTATTTCTGCCACGATTTAAGCCCAGAAGATACGCGCGTAGTTGTATAGAAAACCGACTCACTTCACGATCTGCTAAAGAATTAAGTATGGGACCACGCAGACACATTTTATTCACATTAACAAATGAGAGCGATACTTTTACAAAGGTCGATGTAAACAAGGGTTATAAAATTAAAATTCATGCGTTCAGAGGTGCTCTAGTGGAGCTGCAATTAATATGAAAATCTCTGGACAATATTTATGACACTGACACAAGCGAAATTATTGCAGAGTTTAATATTTACTGACGCGCCGTATTTTACACGTCGCCCGGATTACGTGCGAAATATAAACGTAAGCTGCGTTATCCAAATTTAATGGTCGCTATTTGACACCTCGATCATTTGCATTTCCTGTAAATACTCATTGGTACGTAGTTATGGCCACCGTTTATTATCGCCGATAGGTCTTACTGGTGCCGAGCCATATTTATGGTTACGACGACAATCATCAATTTGCGTCTAAAGTTTGTACCGAATAAATAGTTAAGGAAACAAAGTCATATGTTACAGACTTGAAGTAACTATGATTTAATTGTGATTTACATATAAAACGTTATGTATGTTTTGTATATCAATATATCGGACTCAATGACAATCCGCAGCCAGTTAACGAACTCAGCAGCTGGGCTGAAACAAATCCGCATTGCATTATGCATTCCGTCAGTGCATTACAAATGAGGGCGCGCTAACCTCTCTCATCAGAGCGAGCTCGGATCATTTTCGACATATTTGTAGTGATTACTTTCAACTGCGCCCGACGTGTGGCGTGAAATATGGGCTCACCTCCGTTTACGTTTTCAAATAATCCTCTACACCCGAGAATTATAACCCGTGAATAAACATAAAAGGCCGCGGTGGCGCGGCAGGCTGTAATTCCGCACTGGAAACGTCGTAAATAATTGTCGTGGCTTTCGCGCTAATTCCTCGCCAAGAGTGAAATCTATGAGAACGCTCGCGTTGCGCTCTTATGAAAAATTGCCGGCGACTTCATAACCTGTTGCTGTTCTATGTATTTAGAATTTTATTGCCTTTTAAACAGGGTAGGTAGGTAGGTACACGAACACGCGAATAAAAACTTTTTGCAAACATCAACTTGAACAGCTGTGCCGTGTGTTCGCCATTAATAATTTATTCATTGTGCAAGTTCAGACAAACCTCTGCCCGCGACATCAAACGAGCGTTCGGCTAATATGTAGTAACATCACACAATTACAAGACGTGCGTTGAAAAGCCTACATAGGCATGCGGCAAGCTATGTTAGCGCCAACTGTCTCCGCGCCTCGCTCGCAGGATGTCACAGCGGTAATTAAACATTCCTCAGCCGCTCTTGATATTAACCCGTTTGAAAATTCTAACAATGTCGTGTACTAGGCGCTTCCTATGAAAACGTTATGTAAGGAACAACATATAATATAGCCAAGCCTCCAGCTAAATAGGCATTGCGAAGGCATTCGTGTCTTCAATAAATATCCAACTCAGTCTCTTAAAACATACGGAATATTTTCGCTTTATTTTAGTTTGGTATTTGGTAACAGATAAATTACTACCGCAAAGAATTTATCGACCGACACAAACTTGAACAAGATGAACCGAATAAAACAAACAAGAGGGACCTCGACATAAACAAAAATGATATACAACACCGCGATGGAAAAACAAACAATAATTATTTTGAAAGCACACATTCATTATATTTTTAATCAGCAAATGTAATTTGATCTACGAACCTATCAAATAAATATGATTCACGTTGAAAAATAATTAAAACAAACATAATTAAAATTAAAGGAGAGCTTTTTAGAATTTTTACTGATTGTAAATAATAACCGGGAGTAGACATAAATAGGATCATAATAAGAAGAGGGGGCGGCAGGTTCCTCTACACCACTCTCAGAGTCCCCTTTGTTACGCCGTTTGAACCGGTCGACCCTCGACCCGACCCTTTCTTTAAAGCAGCGGCACTAAATAGGCATCTATTCTGTTGTCATTCTCAACAAATACTTCATAAGCACTTAGCCGGTAACGACGTGCGGCGTGCATACATAGGTGGCTGACGGCGGAGGAACGCTTTTGCCGCACCTCGCAGAGATTAATTATTCACACTAATGAACGTGTGTGACACAACTTAGCTACTATTCATACTCCACTATCGGAAAAAACACACTTATCTATTTATAGATAGGTGGTATATGCGTCGCATTACGTACAGAAGCTGACAACAAAAGAAAATCTTATTAATATATTCCCAAAGGAATACCTACGTTGCGGATTACATTCCGGCTAACAACTACGTCGGCTTAACGGGAGATAATATCAAAATCTGTAGCTCAAGGCACCTTAATTTCCATCATCCCATTTCTCGCAGAAAGTCACATCAATACGATAGCGTTTAAGCGATGTAGGGGGGCAGAGAAATAATGAATAGAGGCTTTTAGCAATATTACTGCGACACAGGCGGTTTGCTAAACGACTGTTATGAGGGAATTAATGTCTGCCGCCTAAGTGAGTGCTCATGCTCAGTGCTCATGTGGCTCACCTCAATCTTAATGACTGGGGCGACTCTCGCCAGCTAAACATTATATTTCTGACTATACCTAACTCAACAGTCGACTACAACGACTTTTCTCCCGTTATAAATGGAAGGTTTGTGTTGGAACTGAAATGTTTTATGACATGAGCGTACCATTTATTTTGTAGGTAAACGTTATATTTTTATTTGCTAACAGGCAGTTTTTTTTAATTTGTTAGAGTGTTGAGTTTATTACTTGGTGTCCGCGACATGTGATTAATGTGAGGAGTTTGTGACTGATGCTATTAAAGTACCTACTTTTTCTCGTCTAATGTTGATTGTATGAACGACCCAACGAATTAATTTGTTTAGAGAGTCTCTATTACGAATAGGCAAATGCACTTATAGATCTATCTCTTTTCTATCATTAATCTACGTATTTTCTACATTACTCTAATGCATTATTAAACACTACCTATGCCATCCTCGTAGCTAGTCAAAGATGGTGGTTTTCCGTTCCACAGTGTAACTAAATAAGTTCTGTAGAGGTTTGCCTATTTTGCAAAAATTGTCGCTTCATTTTTATATTCAGAAAAAGCAGTAGTATTATTTTATTAAATCATTTCAATTCATAAGGTAAATTACAATAATAATCAGTCTGATCACGAATGTCCAAATAAACCAAAACAAAAAAATAACATCAAAATAAATCAATACCTAACATTCCGTCAAAAATATACAGCGCGGTACGCCCGTAATGACCTTAAGATAAACATCGGACACCTATTAAATATTGTCGTTAAAAACTTATAAAATAATTTGACGACTTCCACTCGTTCCCGCGACAGAATAATGGTTTTAAATTTTGAAGTCGCCGGGCTTTTATGGAGTAGGCAGCGATAAGGGAGGATTATGAAAAGGGAAGTGGGGGTGAAATGTTGATAAGAAAATAATGGGCCGGCAATGAAACGGAGAGCCGTCTATTACAACTTAAACAATATACTTACACTGGTTCCGCGGTATAATTGCTGTTATTGACTGAATTAATTAACAGTACATTATGACTTTTGGTTTTATTGAAGAAGGCCATAGGGACGCATTCATGACACAAGCATTTTTCATTATACTTAATCGGTTTTGGACACCAATCAATTCCATTCTAAGTTTGAATTGCAAATAATATCCCGCCCAATCTACGAATTGAACTATGATCTTTTCAACGAAGTCTCTTTTCGATTTCGATTTTGGTGTATTCTTCGTTTACCATACACATATAAGGTCATTTTTATCTTTCAACAGGTTGATAAAATACTGCTCCTCTCACAGGATACAAATAGAAAGTAGATAATAGTATCGAAAAGGGTGGTCTGAGCCGACGCGTACTCTGTAAGTAAACTGATACCTTCCCTATTTGCATACTCAATGAAAAACATAAATATTTCAAATAACTGTATTATATAAAAGGAGATAATTTATTATCAAATGCATAGAATTAGATATGTCAAAGATAACAATATGTTACAGCAATAGAAACTGTATGGAGTTACACGAATATCACATTGCAAGGTATAGCATAGTAATAGTAAGAGTATTCAGTACAAGTGAAGTCAGATCAAACACATTACTTACAATCTCTAGGTAAGTACATTAAAATCTTAAAACATTTAACAGTTACTCAATGACTACGTTAACAGTTTATATAAGAATTTAATCAATAAGAAACTTACAATAAATTATTTGAAATAAAAACAAAACAATCGATGTTTACATCGTTGATAATATTCTTGCATTGACTAGATAATCCAGTTGTCCAGTCTTTATGGACATACCACCCGAGCTAAATTATGTGGAGTGCAGGATCTCAGTCCGACAGAAGTGACGGTCAGACCTCGGGATGGAGGGATCAGGTCACGTCCACTGACACGCAGCCGGTGTATACAACCCACGAAGCCTTCAATACCTGATGCCCCTGACAATCTGCATCAAGTAACTAAATGAAATAACTTTCACACAAAAATAATTTTTAGGCACATAATTGTAAACAATGCTAACTTTGTAACATTCTCCGGAGGCTGGCCGATGTAGATGTAGGGATCCACATCCAAGGAACTCATTCGTCCATGTGAGGATCCTCTCGCCACTGAATACCCAAGCTTCAATACCCCGTCCTTCTTATACCTTCTCGCAGATACTTTGGATTTCCCATCAATTTTAACCTTCCCGGTGTGCAATTCAAATGGTCCACTGCCGGCGTCCCACCGTAACACAGCCCTATCATCCACAAACCCAAGCCACAAATGGTCCCTCGTACCGGAAGCACTCACTAATGCGCCTCTACCGCAAACGGCAGAAACCTCAGCCCAAATATCGAAGCGCTTAGCAGGAAACCTCGCGCGCGCCGTCAGTCTCGCGTGCCCATCAAACAATGGTACCTCGTACATGTCGCGGTTGTTTTCCTCTAAATATTCTTCATACATTGAGTAATCATCCACTTCATTAGACTCAAATTCTTCTTCAACGTCCTCAACGACAGGCTGGCTGTTATCTTTGCCAGATTTGGCACAGTTCCCTTCGACGTTATTTTCTACAACGCTACTAGAATGAGTGTATGTTTTTTCTGCGAATTATCAATTGAAGGATATTAAATCTGACTTTTTAATATTAAATCAAATATTCTACTACAAAATAATTTCTACAACATTTCTAGCTTACGACTCTAGCGATATCCAATTGGCGGAAGTATGTCAATACAAGTGAGCTCAGGTTCAGGACTGTCGGGTTTGCCGCTATCGCTGGTGTCTACGGAAGCATCAGTGAACTGCAGTGAGTTGGGGCTTTGTTTGATGTACTCGAAGTCTTTGAGCGATGTTTTGTCGGTTTCCATGTGCGTGTTAGTGTGGAGGTCACTATTCTGCCGTGTGAGGGACGAGCGGTTGGACCTACTGGCGCGACTACCTCGGCGCACGTGGGGTGCTTCCTCGCTGCAGGGGCCGAAGGCTTGCACCACAACGTCAGACTGGGTCCTGCAAGCGTGTGTGCGCAGGTGGCAGGCAGAGAGGTAGGTGCGGCCGTCGCTGCCGCAGACAGAGGGTCCGTCAGCCGGCGGGCACTCCGTACTCGCGCACTCACACGTGGCGAGCCCGCTGCGCACCACGCAGTGCGCACCGAAGTAGCACGTCATGTGGTCGCAGTTGGTTGCTGGCAGTTGTGTAGATTCCGCTGGTGAAAAATTTTATTTATTATAATACTTACATATGGATAAAAAAAATTCATTTATGTATTCAAGTGTATCAGTTCTTATTCTTCTGTTGTTTCGTTATCTTAATCGTATTCCATAAATATCTCTATATTATAAACTTCTATAAAGTGTCAGTACGGCCATTTATGGTAAAAATTGAAAAATACTCGTAATACTCACGATCAAAACACCCATTAGGTCCTAGTGTATGCTCGTGGTTGGAACAGACGGTGCACTTCTGTCCTTGTATGCCTGGTTTGCAAACACATCGACCTGTCATCTGTTCACAGTCCTCACGTACTGAACCAAACGCAGAACAACCACAAGCTGTAACAGTAGACGCTGTTTTAGTTTACAATAATAAAGAAATAATATTTTAATTATATTATAGACTGCCTTGTTGGATTTAGTTGCCTTGGAACTGCGATTGCCGAAAATGTAGTCTCGGCTTAGATTCCCGGATCTCAGTAAGAATAATTATTTTATTTCCTATTTCTCGAAAACTTCTCATTTAATTCAATTATGCCATAGCCATATAGGGCAATAAGCAAAGTAATATAATTGGTGAAAGTTGGGTGCACCATGAAATATATAGGACTATGTCATAAAGCGGCGTATTGCATCTTTGTCTACCTTTCCAGGGATAGAAGGCAGTATGGTATAAAAAATATATACATGCAACAACATAATATTATGCGTCACTCCATCACACTTACGTATGCATCCAGTATGTCCGGTGCCGATTCTAGGAAGCCCCCAATAGCCGGGTTCGCAACGGTCACATTTCTGTCCACCGACACCGGGTCGGCAGGCACATTGTCCTTCTTCGTCACATTGCTCGTTAACGGAACCTAGCCGGTGACATCCGCATACGGCTGGGCACCCGGCACCGCCCGGCCCTCGAGCCGGAGTCACGCCATCAGCACAGCAGCCATGCCAAGACTCCTGGCAACCTTTCTTCTCGACAACCGCTTTATCTGTCAAAGAAAACTCTTTTAATCCTAAGGTGGTATAAGTAATCTGGTAGTTCCGATATTTCTTTAGTGAATACTCAATGGCGACCTCACAAATAAGCAGAGAAAAGGCCACAAGAAATAAAAATAAGTTCATATTTCAAGCAATTTTAATTTTCGATTTTTTTTTTGCTCATCCATTAATCACAAGTTTCATGGGGAAATACACAATGTAACTAAACTATATTTTCTTCTTGGTAACACTAACATCTTTTTACTACCTACACCATCCTGCATCTACAAATTGAGACGTCAATCTTCACTAATGAAATCACAACGTAGCTTCATTATAAAACCGTGTGTGGTTTCTATACACCGCCACTGTCACGATCAGTACCTACCTAACATCTTTCACTTCACCTACCATAAATAGATCAGGTAAATATGTAAATAGCTCGTTATTTGTATTGGGCAATGCAACTTTCTAAATAAATTATGCAAACAATACTACTAGCGGTGCCTCTGTTTACTTTGTGTGCTTTCTGCTAGTTATAACGTACGTTTTTCACCCGCCATTCGACACCAAACAAATGGGTATCGATTTAATTAAGATAAATCTACATGCGCTTCTGTTTCTGTTTTGCATTTATGATTGTAAACGACTTTTATTTATTAGTCACAATTTGTTCACTTGTGGATTTTCCTTCTTTATGAGTAGAATAGTTTGTAGGTATACTCGATAAAGCATTCGATGTTATTTCAAATGCATTGTCTTCAAGTGTAGATTGATTTTTCATTGACATTTTCTAGGACATTCGTATTGACATTAAGATAATTATTAATCATGGAAACTTTTGAATTGAAATGTACTTTATCTTAGAACGAATGAAGTCACCTTTCCGGCAGCATCGTGCAGCTTTAGCAGTGTGATGGCAGTAGCTACCAACTGGACAATCCTTCCTATGAGGACCACCACCACAGTCGATAGGTCTGCCTTCAGCATCTGTGAGTGGCTCATCATCACCACAAGGCCTGAACTGTGAGGAGTAAAATAATGTTAATTTAACAGAAAAAAGGGCTTTAGTCAGTAAGAGTACGACGCCCGCAAAAGCAAAAGGGTGGGCGATCACAGAGTTGCGGGCAGTAAATGGATGCAAGCGGCGAAATATCATTCAATGAAGAGGATTAAGGAGAAATTCTTGAACAGCAATGGACGTGTTCCGACTGATGATAATGCTTAATTTCTTTGATAATTGAGACGTACCTCTAACCCTCGACACACGGGAAGAGGTCGCAGCCTAAGATCTTCCTGTCTTCGGCAAGCTTCAAGCTTCATATGGCACAAAGTTGGATACAACCTCAGGTCGGACGCGCAGACGGGAGCCGACGAAGTAGCTGCAGCTGCGGCGGCCGCGCAGTCGAACAGGCATGCGCACCTGATGTACATAATTATACATAGGTGTGTTATAAAAAGTTACCATAAAGGATGTTTATGTAAGGTAGGTACTGCCACAGGTGACATTATTAGCGAATGTTTATATATTTATTTAATATTTTTAAGATAATAATCTTTCTGGACAACGGACTGTTCTGCAACGTGTCGTCGACTCTATTCTTGCTCGGGACAATTCTTTGTGTAATCTACAAATTGCTGTTTCGGACCCAGGGCGATGTGTTTTGAATTTGCAGGTTATTAATGCACCCGCGATAGGGCAGAAAATCTTAATAATATATATCTAGCAACGTTTTTTATTGGTGACTGCACGGTTGGCGCAAAGGCTGGGCAACTGACAACTGAGTTATCTACAAATCGTTGTTCCGGGTCTGCGTGTGATGTGTTTGTGAAATTGTATGTTTGTAAACGCACTTACGACATAGGAGAAAATCCCAGTGTAGAGCAACGTTTTTTTAATTAAAGAGAATTATGAAAAAAAATGTAATAATTGTTGTCTTATAACCTGGGTTGTCCATTAGAGTCGACAGCGCACGTAGCTTCGTACGCGCATTGCACTCGTGCGCACACCGCGGTGCCGGTCACAGCCTCACTCGCATTCTCGTTCTCATCTCCCGCTCGAATCTCGTTACTTAAGTCTGTATACTTCGATGATCTGTTCCCGTCTGTCAATAAAAGTATAGTCGTTTATAAATAGAGAGAAATGGAATGAACGGATGACTTTTTAGTCAGTTACAGTCTGATATCTCTTCTTTCTTCCTCCTTCTTCCTCTAGCCCCACCCCGGGCGAGAGTTTATACATAACTAGCAAACCCAGCGAACTCCGTTTCGCCACCAGATATATTTCAAAAAGTTGGCGCTGTATATGGAAAAATATTTGCTATAAACCTCACGACCTTTCCAACGAATGCAAAGCCTTAGAAATCGGTTCATGCGTTCTGGAGGTAAAGCGTCAGGAAGGAAAACCCTACTTATTTTTATGTAGAAGATAAGTTGCCAATGTTTACCTGCAGTATTATTCTCGTCCTGTTCAGTACACTCGCCGTAGTAGGCGACTCGAGGCGGTGGTTCGCCTCGCGCCTTAGCCTCGCAGGCACTCCGCCTCAGTGCGCAGTGATGTGGGTACGTTCTCCTGTTGTCTCCACAGACAGGCTCTCGAGCCGCTTCAGCGCACGCTGCCTGGCAGCCGCAGGATCCCCGGGCACACCATGTACCCGCTGGGCATACGATCTCCGCACACGACTCTAAACAAAATAATCACAAAGTTTTTTTTCGTTGCCTAGCTTTGATACACAAAGTAAAGTAAGCGAGCGAGAACTAAGTTTCAGAACGAATGGGTGGGCTCAACCGGAGTGATAGCACGGCTTCTCAGAAATCCAACGTGAAACAATTACAGTGTTGTGTTTCGCCCAGTGAGTGACTGTGCCAGATCCCTCCTCAATTCAACGTACTCGTAACGCCTCTAGTTTGCGGACATCCATGGTCCACGTCCAGCCTATCCGCCTGCCCGTTTTTCGACCTATCGCCTAAAACTAACAACTAGGCAAGGCTTCTAGAGGTAATCTCAAGAAACTTTTATACAGAACTTTTATACAGAATTAGTTTAATCCGATGTAAATTCACTTACCACAGGATCCCATGTGCTTGATATGAATCCGCCTCTTCTCCTTGCAAGCGGTATCACGTAGTGCGCACACGCTGCTGTACGTTTTATTATCTGTCCCACAAACTTCCTCCGTTTCCTGATAAATTAAGTAAATGTACGAATGTATAAGTAGTTTTGGTCGATAGCCGTTCTTCATACTATTTCTGCATATTTTCATAACCCAAGAACTAACAGTTGTTACTTTCTAAGAAGTGATTCAGGGTTCATTCGAAATGAAAAATGATATATGTATAAGTATTTATGCGCAGAATGTAAAGGTATGTTTGGCGTATAAGTAATATTGTCTATCATATACTATTGCTGCAAAATTTCATGAACCAAAAATCTCAATAAAACTTTGACCAACCCAGAAATCGAGATTCAACAACCAACAGTTGTAACTTTCTACAGAGTGATTCAGGGTTCATTTGAAATTAAATATGATAATATAGGTATTTATATACACTAACCGTTCCTTCTTCACAATGCTTAGGACAGACGCAGCTCGCTTCAGAGACCCCGTCGCTTTCACAAACTGCGTAGAACTCACACTTCTTGTTTTCACACCCGTCTGTAACGAAATATTTATTTTTATATTACAATAAAAGCCTGGCCGATGTTTTTAAAGTCTGTTCAGAAATAAATGGCACGTCCTATTAATAAATTCAGTCAGATTTCCCGTAAGAAGTACTTACACAAAGGACATATAACCCTAACTCCACAACTCTGTGTTGATAGGAGATACTACGAGTATCTTTACACAGAAAGCATGGTGGTCGCAATCACCAATATCATGTTGTATTCCACCAATCACCATCTGTATCATACTTATGTAGAATTTTGCATCCAAAAAAAGTTTCGTTATGAAATTACTCACTGCAGGGTCCGTCGTAGAGCACTTGCACGTCCCGCCGATGTCGACAAGCCTCTAGCTGCAACTTGCAACGGTTGCCGTAGGAAATCCCGTCAGAACCACAAACTGGTGCAAACTCGTTGGAGCAACGTGGACACCGGCACACGCCACGACCTCCCGTCGCCACGCACTCTCCGCCGTGAGGACACACGCGGTCAGCACACACACCGTTGGAACCTAATTTTTTTGATGAGATCAATAGGACTTATTACCTTCGAGAAAATATCACAGAAATTACTTGATAAGAAGTTCAAATACCAACTCATTCATAAAATTATTATTATTTATTAGTATGTAGATATATAGTGAACGTATAAACCTATTTGGACTTCTTAACTGTTAATGCACACCTGTAAGTTTTTTAAAAAAAGCAAATATGTACTTCTAATATGTAAACATATCGTGACGTATCATTTACTAGCTAGAAAAAATATATACTTAATCATGGAAATGTGACACAAAAGGCTTCTCTTTTGGAGACCCCACTCTTGGTAGAAGGCACATTGTCATTATAACACTTCGACCAAGAAAAAGAATCAGTAGTAGTTAAATTAACAACACAGTAAAGCAGCTTAAAGCCAAATCTCACCACAAGCTCCTGCGTGGAGTACCCTGAGCTCCCTCCCCAGTAGACAGGCAGCTCTCCTCAGTTCACACTCGCTATCATGAGTGCGTGAGTCCGAGCCGCACACAGGCCGGAGCACAGGTTCGCAGGGCGGTGGACAGGCGCACACCGCACCGCCTCCCTCCACCCGACACTCCGCGCCGTGCCGACACTCCACTTCAGCACAGGGATTCACACCTACAAAATTAAAATAATTATGTATCTACATTTTCGTGAAGCGATATTTTCCATAAAATACCTATATTTAGGCTTTTTTTGAGGGGAAAATCAAATCTCTCAAGCGAGGGAGTGTCAAACTGTTACTGACTAAACGCCCGCTCTTTCTCCTGCTCTAGGAGATCACGTTACCTTTACTCCGTTTGGTAGACTCAAAGGCCCGGACAACATTTTTAATAGAAAATTGGAGCTCACTTTCGGGGACATTGAAAAACTTCTTTTTTTCCCTGACGATTAAGTGCGTACATATTAATATTGTAAAACAGCATTTGCCTCAATTACCAGAACTACACTGCCCTTTGAAAATAATCTTCAATTGTTTTCTGGCTCGACAGGACTCCCGATGCATCTGACACTCGTTTGAATATGTCTTGCCGTCGGAGGCGCAGACTGGGGAGAACTCGAGGGGACAAGGTTCCGCGCAACGGCAGGATGGAGACCGTCGGTCGTCCAGCTGACACACTTCAGGGTCAGGACAGGTCACTCCAGAACAAGGATCTATAGACAGAGGGAAGGTTTAAACACTGATTAATTTAATACATATGATCAAAGTTCAAAATTAACTGTCTAGTAAATACTCTTATAAGCAGGTATGAATAGTGACCTTAATCACGTATTATCCAATAGATACAATAATAATCTTTAGTCACACATCCAATACTTACCGCATTTACCGTAATACTTGAAAGTTATATTTGTATTTGATTCGCATGCAGCTCTGCGCATCTCACAGTCGCCAGGGTAGTCTCGGGCGTCGCTTGCGCAGAGTGGACGCGAGCCCTCGTGATCACCGTAGCTGGGACACGACGTGGGGCACTCGCAGTTGTATGCGCGGCCATCGGGCGTGGGCCGGCACAGCGCACCCGGCCCGCAGACTACACCTCGACACGGATCCGGAACGTCTAAAAACCGCAACTTGAGACAATTATGCACTATCGCAATTTGTCAGAGACTATGACCTGGGTGGTGAAGCGAAAAGAAAAAACTCTAAATGTAAACACGCCGGAAAAATACATAGGTATGTAAACATTTCAATGGCAATGAGCAGGTATTTAAATTTATGTTTAGAGAGAGGAATAAGAAATGGACAAATACAGTAGGCCGAATGGTACCCTAGGGAAGGAAAAAGGAACAAAGGGCGATAACCAAAACCCTTAAAAGATGACCACATGAGAACTGCTGGACAAGAGGACCCTATCCCTCGCAATTCTCAACCACATATTAAGTAGATAGTACTATTATGTGTGTATAAAAATAAAATCTTTGGCCTTAGTCTAAGGACAAGACTGAGAAAAGATACTGATTTTAGATATAATAAAATATCTACGATAGTTATCTAGTAGAAGTGAACTCAATAATTCCTAATTCTATTTTACTTTATTATTACCTGGATACCCGATTTGAAGACCTGGAACCTAGATCGATTTTATCAGGGATATGCCTCTCCAAAAAACTAATGTCATTTTGCAAAAAAAAATCAAGTAAATGACTAATTCATTCAACACGAAGTCAAGGTCAAATCGGCCGAATCTTCGCAGTTATTGTAAAGCTTATCACCATGCTTACCGCTTGGAAAAAGATAGCAGCAATCAGCAGCGGCCACCAGCACCAAGAGCGGCAGCAGTGTCACGCTAACCATTGTCCGACAGGCTCGCCGCACCTGGCCTTCCTTGCTTCCACCATCACACATCATATATTCGCATTGCACTTTTTTCTACGAAAACACATCTAGATAAGAACATACCTATTTATTCCTTTGATACTAATAACTAAGATACAGAATGCATTAATAATTTATTTATAATTCAATGCTACACGATCAATAACAACATTCGGTTTTGCTTATATTTACAAGTAAACTTAATTAGGTATTCAGATCAAATTGAACCTTTCGACTTTATAGTTAAAACTGACTCACCTAATATTTTTCTTTTGCATGCCTACACTCAACCAGACTGTGCTGTATATGAACACGTTTACGTATCAACAAATAGGTACTAAAAATAAGGAATGTTTTTCTTTTGCAGACAAAGCGTCATGATTAGCGCGACCTCCCCTCACTCGACGGAGGAGTACTGAAGCTGGAATGTAGAACTTGTCTGAATGAACTCCTGCGGACATGCGCACTGCAACACGGCCATCGGGAAAGGGATTAATGTAACCGGACTTTTAGGCACCTAGTCAATAACTGGAACCTACAAATACACGGTTGTGCGTATCGAACTTTAGATTTTTTAGGACTATAGATCATCACATCAGAAAAGTAACATTAAATTTTTATACCTACCTACGTATAATTATGTAACAATCCACGAACTATTGGTATGATAATAAAATGAAACACCATTGAAAAGTGAAGCAGAATAGAAAGACTCAAAATAAACTGTATTTTTTTTATATGGAGATCAAAAGTAAACATGCTTAGCCAAAGTAATTCAAATTGTTCAACAAGAAAATTGTATCTACACAATATTGAAACCAGGGAAAAAACCTGAAATTACAGGGCTTATTTCATTCGTTTTGTGCACTGGCATGTGCAAAGTAGGTACTAAAATATCAACTTTTAAATATTTGTATGATGAAAAATACACATTTAGTTACTTGTAACTTACTTGTGCCTACTTTAACTAGACTTAGGTACCTAACTGCGCTCTTTATGCTGTTCCTGACGTTGCAGGTACCTACAACAAGTACAACTTGGTTCCTAAGTTTTATTAACTGTTCCTTTAATGAGTATAGATATAAATATTAAGTTTACTTTTTGAAGAATACTTTTCATTTCAAAATCACCGCATGCCTAAATAGCTTAATATATACCTAATAGGCACCTACAGGAACATTTTTTGGCTTCTTATCCAATAAGTAACGGTCGATATTGTGCAGATAACGTACCTACTTACCTATGTGTTTGTCGTCCCTAACTCAGTAGAAGCAGGTATTTGCCCGAGGATGTTTGACTGCACGTTAGTGGTTCAGGTTGGGTTCGATTCCCGCATGGAAAAACTAAATATTTACTTGTCATGCACAAAATTCTGTTCCGGGTCTGAGCGTCGACTCTGCTTGGCATTAACAATAAAATGACCTAAGTGGCTGTAGATATTATGCCTACGCTAACACACCGAAGATAATCCGTGAGATAGTGTGGATATTTCCACGGGTTATTTCTCACACGATATTTTCGAATCTCAGACGTCGATGTAAGTACCTCATTTTCATATGTTACATCCTCCGGATAGGACTACTGCTGAACTGGTATTGTCCTAGATGAATTGAAAAGTACAATAAAAGATTACGAAATTTTCGTTAACCCTTTGGTTTGGATCCCTCGTAAAGGATCTTAACATTCTTATTGAAGAATAGTGTAGATCGATCTTAGCCTTGAATAGGTCCACTCGGAGGACACCGTGGAGCATAATATGGTGGTTGTATGCCTCGGGCTGAACGTCGCAGTGTCTTCGGAGAAGTGCACGGCGCTGGCGACCTGACTTGGGGTGCCTCTTCCTCAAAGCCAGCAAATCTAGCTGAGGCGGAGCGCATCACGGAACGATCTTCGCGGCACCCTAGCGGGGGTACATACATAACGTGAGCTGTATGTGGGCAAGGGTTCGAGTTAAATCTCATCTAATCTCACGTTGAGGAGTTTTATTATTATTATTATATACTTGGAACACTCTAGCAGCTTAGAAAGCTGATGCATGCGTATTAATGGATTTGGAGATTTTGTCGAGTCTGTTTTAAAAGAATTAACTGTGGGTGCTTTTATCACATTTTCTGGGAGTTTATTCCATTCCGTGACCACCATTAGAATATTTCAGAAACAATAAAAAACAACATTAACTTTAATATGTTTATTTATTATCATGGTATATAACCATTTAAGACGTTTTCACTCTTATTACATTCACAATTGCATGTAACAGAGAATAAGACTTTACATAATGTATAAAAATAGGATTGTACGAGTCTCAAATTGACTCGGAAATGCACGCAAAATGAGAAATGAATTTACAAATTAAAACTCCTTCCTATCCACTGCTAAAATGCAATGACAATGTGCCCTTTTCTGCTAAGCTATACACAATTTATTGAAATTGCACATGATTTTTAATTACATGCAAACCTACTAACAATTGCTAAATTTTGTACATTTGCTACGACCTATGTATATCACTTCTTTCTGTCATTAATTTAATACATAAAATCATGATGCAGCATCAAATAAATAGATAAAAATCATGACATTATGAGGCATCAAATAAATAGATAATTGGATTAGACATTATAAAACATTAAGACTGCGACTAAATTGGAACAATATAAAAAATTAATGGTATTTCTTTCTAAATTCTGTACACTAACAATAGACAGATTCGGCAATAAATTAAATTTACTATACAGTCTTACTTATAAAATGTCACTAATAATGTCTCATTTTATATCGATGCGCTTTCGCTTATCACATAGATAAAAACCACAGCACTTTTTGTCACTTAAACTTTACACTTCACGGTTAAACCAGCGTTCTCGACAAGAGATTTCTAGTCTATTATTTACAAAATATAAAATACAGACTTATTTACAAGACGGAACTTAAACTTTATGTGGGAGGTGCGCGGCGATCGTAATCTCTCCGGTACACCTCCCGCTCATAGTCCCGCTCATCGTACGCATACTCAGATTGCGAGTAACCTCGCCATTCGTCTGGGTATGGTCGCACAGGGGGAAAGCCCATACTTCCTTGCATGTTAGCGCTATCATAGTAGGCGCTGTACGGGCCCGGTACGGCACCAAAGCCACTGTACCTGCTGAAAACATAATAAAGTACCAGTTAGAAACCAAATCAGGGACGATAAAATAAAGTCGAGGTTCAAGAAAGAAAAAATTGTCACCTCCTCTTGTCGTGTGGACGCGGAGTTCGGTCCGCGCGATATTGGCGCGGGCCAGGGTAGGCGGGCGGCGTCCAGGCGGGGTGCGTAGGGTGGTCAGGGTGTGGATGCGCCATGGCGTAGGGAGGGCGCGAGCGCGCGCTGCCGAGGCCGCCACTGTCGCGGCGCGTGCGAGATCGCTCACGGTCGCGGTCGCGGTCCCGTTCGCGCTCGCGGTCCCTATCCCGGTCGCGCTCCCGGTCTCGGTCTCGCTCCCGCTCCCGCTCCGTCCGGCTCCGCTCTCTGTACATCAAATCGTCCCGCTTCAGGCTCCTATCCCTATCCTTGCGATCCTTGTGCTTGTGTTTATGTCTGCAGGGATGGACAAAGCGATAATGGTGGTGAGCGACACAGGAGAGGTTAGCAATTTGATGCGTTATTATGAAAGTAGCATGTTATTACGAGAATGGTACATGAGGAAGCTGGTGAGCGCAGTGGTGATTGGCAGGCTACTTTGCAAGACTGTTAGTATCTAATGTTTATCAATGTCAATCTAAATTTACCTTTCGTGACGTTTATTTTCGTTTGGTTCAGGGTCGCATTCTCCTTCTTCTAGCTTTCTTTTAATGCCTGATGTATGTGGAGTTTTTTCGTTTAGTTTATCTACTTTATCACGATCTGTTTTAGGCCTCTTCTCTTTTTTGTCATTAGCATTGTCTGCTTTCCCATCTTTTTTAAAAGATTTTACATGATTACTATTGTGATTATTTTTATTATTCTGCAATAAAAACATGAATAATCAATACACGATAAATAATCAATGAGCATTATTCTAATCCATTGGTGGTAATACCGACCTTAACATTTTCTTTATGCTTCCCATCTTTCTTACTAGACGATTCATTTTTCTTCAGTCCATATTTATATAACCTATAAAGCTGCTTTGCGTCAAAATTAGTAAACTTCGACACAAAATACCAGAGATTACTTCTCCACTCTACTTTCTTTTCAGGGTCAGGATATGCATCTACGCATATGTCAATTTGGTTCCCTATCTGCGTTAGGCAAGCTCGTGTTCTGGCAACTTGATCTGCTTCCGATAGTGTTTGATCTGGATTGTCGAGAGCTCGCAAGGCTTTTTTGACAGGCCTCATCTTTTCTTTACACTGAAATAATTAAAGTGGTCATACAATTTAATATTTTTTTTATTGATACCTTAACACAAAAAGTAGATTTGTGCCTGCTTGACATAATCCCACTCCTATACTCCTAATGCAAAGGATAAAATATAATCAGCATTGGTTAGTCAAAAATAAATAATTTATGTTACAAAAGTATTCTCGTGACATACCTCTTCGAAAACGGATGGGTCAAGATCACCAAGAACCTCCAAAGCCCTCGGCTCATTATTAGCCGTAAAATGCATGGGACCAGCAGGTTTCTTATTCCGAGGTTTTAATTTGTCAGACTTTCTGTTGCCATCTCTCTTTGTGCGTTTTTTATCTCTTTCTTTTCTGTCATTTGAAGTTTCATCATGTGTAGATACTTCCTCTAACTTTGACTTATTCTGGAAACAACAGAATTATTTAAAAATCTACATTTAAGTCACAGAACAGATTACAAAATCTTTTTAATTGTCTAATTATTACATACCTTATCCTGTTTATCATTTTTACCAGTCTTATTATTTTTCTTATTCTCATCTGGAGAACTACCATCGTCTTCCACTATATCTTTAGTAACTGGCTCTTTCTGGCCCCTTTTAGTCCGAGGTTTCCTCTGCTTTTGCTTACCATTTTTCTGGTCTAGCAATTTCTTTATTAAT